TTTTTAAATGAAAAGAAGAGAATTTACCAAGCTATCTTTTTATATCTTTCTATTTTTTAACACAAATTTTTAAAAAGCTGCATATAACCTATTTAACCCAGGGAGAGGACATAGGAACAAAGTCTATGCTATCATATTGAAAACAAACAAACATCACTGTCCCTCAAAGCCACGAGTCACAGGGAGACTGAGGGTGAGGGCGAAACAGTTCCTTTGTGACTGAGAGGAGTGATGGGTATTATATTCCCTCTTTAAAACCGTGTCTTCAGTATTGGACCAATAGCATGAATCAACAAGGGCCAACATCCTGCTTGAGAATAAAATTGTTCTGTGTCACTTTGTAAGCAGTGTCACCCCAATACATCAAATAAACAAGTTTTTTAATTGTTCTGGGTAAAGTGCCTAAATAATTACTATCACATTATTTAGGCACAGGTAGTTTACTCTTGCATAGCAACCTACATTTGATTTATACTTTCATTCTGTGGCAAATGTTATCTCCAGATAAGTTCCAGCAATATTTTCTAAAATAGCCTCTGTCGCAAGCTCAGTCCTTTGGAGACAGAATCTAGGTTCACGGGGTTCCCACAGGAAGCCAGCCATCCTTTCTGGGGAAGAACTGACTCAATGTTAAAATGAATATCAGAAAACACCACAACCCTCCAAACATGCTCAAAAGTTATCTAAGAAGAATAAATCAAAATGTAAAAGAAAAATTTAAGCCTAAATCCACGAACGCCCACATTCTCCTCAGAGCTGTAACCGTCTCCTAAAAGCTCCTGGAGTTCAGGAATCTGAGGAACTGGAAGGAAATGCAGGTCTTGGCCATGGCTGCCCTCTGTTGCCCCAACGTTTGTATCCTTTCCACAAAGAACTTCTGTGGCGCGTTACTCTTCGCAACTCCCGAGGCTTCTCAAATGCAAAATTCAACACAAACGTGCGGATGACATTATTTGACTAAAGTTGGAAAATCAATATATAGACGTAAGAGTAATTAATTACTCATGTAGCTGTCATTTGCCTGTAGAAATGAAAAAAAAATATATAATAATAATTTCATTGTCAGAAGCAGATATTCCCAGCTCCTGTTTCTCTCCCTTTTGTAAGTAAGCCACTGTCCACTCGATGTCACAGGAGATCAGCTCCTTAACTGGTAGTTTGGGAAACTTCGAATAAACATTTGTTTGGGATCCAAAGAGTATACACCAATGCCACTGACATCAGTTCAGGAACGCCAACACTCAAAGCGATGAAGTTGCTATGTGGCTGCTTCTTAATCCAACATCACAGGCTGCGCAGGCGACCTCACCTGGTCATGGAAACGGTCAAACAACGCTCTGCTCCTGAGCAAGTGCCCCTGGGGAAGGCAGCACTGCGGAGCTGGCTGCTGCTCTCAGGGAAAGAACAACATGCTGGCTGCTTTATAACATGGGATCTTCCAGCATACTCAGCCCAGGAAGTAATAGGCACCTATTATATAGACATACAGATCTACAGGTAGGCATAGAGATGAGAGCGGGCATGGCAAAGACACAGACACAGACATGGGCACAGACACAGGCACAGGCACCGACACAGGCACAGGCACAGGCACAGGCACAGACAGTAGTGTGGTGAAGGCCTGGGAGGGTTGGGTGTGGGGTGCAGGAGATTGGGGGGCGGGGGGCAGGCGGGGAGAGAGAAACATCTATAATACCTTCAACAATAAAGATAATTTTTATTAAAAAGAAGGTACTTAATTTTATAAGAAACCACCAGCTGTCTTCCAAACTGGCTGCACCACTTCGCACCATTAGCATCTGAGAGTGTCTGCCCCACATCCTTGCTGCAGTTGCCGCCAGCTTCTGGTTTCCCACTCGAGTGGGTTTGCAGCCGCGGGCCCTGCACAGTGTGCTCATGGTGGGTGCTGAGCACAGCGGGGGCAGCGTATGTGGGAGGTCTCTGTGCTTTCTGCTCAACTGTGTCATGAACCTAAAACTGCTCTAAACAGCAAATCATGAATGACTAATACGTTACATTAAAAAATATTCACTGAATGCAAAGAGACGGGAAAAGAAGGAAGAGGATCAGAGGCAGCAGTTCAGGAGGGAGGCTCTGGGCTGTGCTGCGGGCTGAGAGCTCGCTGGGCTGGAAGACGGGCCAGACATTCGGGATTTGAGTCTGGGCATTCCAGCTCCTTTAGGCAGAGCTTCCAAGCACATGTTCTGTGGCGGGAAGTTTCCACTTTTGACTTTTGCTGTTATTATGTTGGCAGATTTTATCTTTCAGAACTAAATTAGTTTTGTGTGTGACCCGTACTGTGTGTGTGGAGCAGGAGCGTGTGGACAGACGCAGGATAATGATAACATGTGCCCGTGGCTCCTGCTGCAAGCCCTGGACCTCCCTCCCAGCCCGGTGGCACAGCCAGCCAAGTCGCAGGCAGCTCAGGGCGTGTCTGGGCTCCGGGCGCAGGCATCTGGCCAAAGCAGGAAGACTCAGGTGGGGGCACAGCCTGCAGAGCTCCCCTCCTCTCGGTTTGCTCAAGATTTGCCCTCAATCCCAGGCCTTTGGGTAATTAACTTCATCCCCAGACTCCTCCGGCACAGCCTCGGAGACATGGAAACAGCTCAGTGATGCTGTGGGAGTCTCACCACTGCCATTTAAGCCTAGACAATGTCTGTGGTTTGAGCTACATTCTCTGCATTTCTACAAACATTCACAGTGATCTTGAGTAAAGGTGAGATCTGTTGTAGTAAGGCATCAGTCTGTCAGGGAATGCCCACCAGGCGCACTCCTGGGCGGGAGCGGCTGTCTGTTTTACAGGAAAACCCGTCAGCATGTCAGCAGCCGCACTGATGTTTGGTGAAATGACCTCCTTTCGCTGACTCAATGTCACCACAGCCTGCCCAGAGCAGGGGCCGGGCCTGCCCTCAGTTTTGGAGACGTTTTCTGAAAGGATCTGGAGGCCGCACCGCCGAGTCTCCCTCGCCCTCTGATGCAAGTTTAAATCCTCCAGGCGGACCTTCAGGCTGACACGTCCATCTTTTGCAATGAAATGCATTAAAAGCACAGAGCACCCCTCTGCCACCCTGGGCATTCCTCAGGCTCAAATAATTAAATCTCTCCTCGCTGTGGTTTCTTTCCTCCTTGAAATCATCTCAACACTATACTGTCCTGACCATGGGCAAGGCAGAGATATTATTTTTATACAAAATGGCCCGAAACATGTGGACCAAGGCTTAAAATGCCTGATACAAATTGGGGAAACCAGAATAAATTCAAAACATCCACATTAAAAACAAAACAAAACAAACAAACAAACAAAAAAACACCGGTTTCTGTCCAATGAACCTGCTGAATTCCCAAATGCGCAGACCCCAGCATGTCACCCAGGGTCCAGACTGACCTTCCGGGTACTTTTGCCCAAAAAACAAAAATAAAATGTCTGTTCTAACTGGTCAGGGAAAATGTTTTATGAGAAATGCAACCTAACCAATACTCATTGTTATACCAAAGAAAGGGCAGTCCTTGGCTAACCAGGCGGACACTGTCCCAAACTGGTGCCTGAGACCAGAGGCAGCACTGAGGGTGGAGTTCACTGGGGGGCGGGGGGGTCCTCAGCCCGGAGGCCCCACCGCCCAGGACACCCCCTTCTGCTACCCTAGAGCCCTCTGTCTGCCCGGCCTGCTGGGCACAGGGCTCCGACCCCCAGCCAGGCCAGCCCCCCTGCCCCCCGTCCCCCCAGGCTCAGTGACAGCAGCAGCACTGAGCTGACAACTCCTCCTCAGGCTTGAGACCTTCATCTCCAGCTCATGTAGACATCCTTCCTGCACAGCCCTGGCTTGCTGAGGCCCTGTGTGCAGGGGCCGCCCCTTGCCCACCCTGCCTCAGCCCCCCCTCCCCGTCCCTCAGCCCCCCCTCCCCCTGTCTCAGCCCCACCCCTCCCCCTGCCTCAGCCCCCTCCCCCTGCCTCAGCCTCACCCCGGCCCCCCTGCCTCAGACACCCCTCCCCCTGCCTCAGCCCCCTCCTCCCCCTGCCTCAGCCCCTTCCCAGCCTCCCCTGCCTCAGCCCCACCCTGGTCCTTCTGCCTCAGGCCCTCCCCCCGCCTCAGCCCCACCCTGGTCCCCCTGCCTCAGCCCCACCCTGGTCCCCCTGCCTCAGCCCCCCTCCCCCTGCCTCAGCCCCCCCTCCCCCCTGCCTCAGCCCCTCCCCGGCCTGGTGTCTTCCTCCTGAGCTCTGGCTGCCCAGGCTTCCTCAGTGGGTCTTGGTCAGATAACAGATGCATAGAGCTGGGCTTCCAATGGCAACCGCCTGTCAGTCTGGGGGGCTGGGGCATCCCAGAGTGAGGTGCCCCGCTGAGTGGTGTGTGGTGGGAAGCTGGGCCCCTGAGCTCACAGCTCCCCAGGGTCCTCGCGCCCAGAGGATCGCTCCTCACAGTCTCTTGTTGGCGGGCACGGCCACTCGTGGAGCCTCATTTCCAGGACTAACCCCCAGGCCCTGCAGCACCGGGGGTGAGGGTCCCGCTGGCTTCTGCGGGGCAGCACCCGGTGCAGGTCCTGGGCTGTGGGCTCCCCCGGAGGGAAGGCCCAGACAGAAAGACAATGCCACTGCACTCCATGCCGGTGCCACAGGGAGTGTGCCCACGCCCTGCGGGTGGACGGCGTGGTGCCCGCTCCGCCTCCCCCCTCCCCCAGAGTCCTCCACAGCGCAGGGCCCACTGGCTGCTTAGGGAGGTGACTTGCTGGGGAGCATGGGCCTTTCTCCCTCCAGGCTGGGCCTGGGGCTGGGGGTGGGGCAGATGAGGTGTGTGCACAGCCAGCCGGCCAGTGCTGGGCAGCCTCTGTCTTCAGGAGGATTTTCAATGAAAAACAGGCAACAACGTAAATGTCCGGTTCAAAGGTAACAGTAAATAGATTCTGCAAACATGTGAATAGCATATGAAACGTTAACACTGAAAATTACAAATTCTAATCGTTTGAAATTATGTGTAAAAAAAAGATGCAAAGTTGCGTTAACTCACCCTGACCCTGAGGGAACCTCTTCCACCGCACCAGCAGCACCAGCTCCTGGATGGCCAGGGTGGGCCACGCCTGGTAGCACGGGCACCCGCGGATCAGCTGCACTATTTGTCTGTTTTCAAGCTTGGTTTTCTCCTGGAAGAAAGTCATCATCACATTTTCTCTGTTAGGTCATTTAAAAAGGAGAAAAAATAGATATGTCAGTGAAAGAAAAATAAAGCTTACACCACATGATTTTACATAAAATGCACTTGAATTTTATCTGAGCACCATTCTATGACCGACCACATAACCATAGCTACAAGTCTGCTATTAGTCTGATTTTCTCACCTTTCATAATATTTTATGAATGTTTTAGTATTTAAAAAAAACACACCTGTCATAGTCAAGATTAAACTCAAAAGTTGTATTGATCATCTATCTATCTTTATAAAAGCCTAAGTGACTATTCAATCATTGGACAGGTAGCTATGACACGCACTGACCACAAGGGGGCATGGAAACATGGAACAGCCTGATGAATCTCAGAGGGGGGGAGGGGGGGGCGGGGCAGGAAGAGATTCAACAAAGATCTTCTACGCGTACAAGAGGCCCAGTGCACAGATTGGTGCACCCGTGGGGTTCATGGGCCTGGCCTGCGGGGATGACCGAAACCAGCTCTCTGACATCCCACGCGGCGTCCTAGATTGTGAGAGAGCGCAGGCCAGCGTGAGGGACCCCACCGGTGCTGGAGTCTGTGCACCGGGCCTCTAGTATCCAATAACTAACACTGATATTTTGGAGGGGAAAAAAAAACATACAAAAAGAGTTTTGAAGCCAGCCTCTCTGAGCCAGGGTGGCAGGAGGCTGCATTCTGAGAACATGGTGGCTCCAGCAGCAGCATCGGGTGTTGGAGAAGACCCCGCCTGGCAGAGGCCTGGACCAAGCACTCAGGCTCCCCGAGGACAGGCCCGCTGGGTGGGGCAGGTCTCTGAGGGACACACGGTCTGACTGAGAGAGACATTATCAGACAAGTAAGGTCATCCTGATGCCTCGGGATGTGGCGGAGCTCAGCTGTGGGCCGGCCTGCGGCCGATTCCGCTGGGGAAGCCAGGCCCTGAGGCGCCTCCCGGGCGGGCAGCACTCTCGGATCATCCTGGAAGCCTAGCACGTGACCTGGTGCCACCACCCTAAAACACACATTTGTTGAATGAAAAAATAAGTGTTAAATTCATGAAAAACAAAAAGCCATAAAAATATACATAAAGCATGGGGGTACGGGGGGGCAGAGGGGGCTCACAGCCCCGGGCAGGCTCATGGCTGGGCCCTGGCGTGGGCTGGGAAGGCTGCCGGCTGATTCCCGTCAGCACACAACCCAGCTCTGGGCTTGACTCCCCAGGAGGCAGCCATCCGTGCTTCACTCTCACATCCATCTCTCTCTCTCTCTCTCTCTCTCTCTCTCTCTCTCTCTCTCTCTCTCTCTCTCTCTCTCTCTTCCTCACCTTCCCTCTCTCACTGAAAACCAATTTTAAAAAAGTAGGATTACAGTTGTTTGTACAGAAATTAATAAGCTGTGTTTCACACACTCACAACTGTAGGCCTACTTTGGCCCCACCCGGTATATCCATAAAGGCCTTTTTTTCCGACTTCAATTGCCCATCACCATTGGAGGTTTAAGTGGTGGTCATTTCTATTGTTCAGGTCAGACCAGACTAAAGATAAGGGAGCGATGAGCCTGTCCAGAGAGGCACAGTGTTTTTGCATCTGCAGCCGTGTTGGCTATGTGGCTGTGAGGACCAGACAGGGCCATACCGACTTTAACTTGGCGTAATTGGCTGCGGAGATCTTAAGAAGCTCGCAGTCTTCTTCTGTCACCACCGAGTACACCGCTGGATCCGCCTGGACCTGAGCTGTGACTTCCAGGGTCCCAAAGGTGCTCCACTGTCCAAGCTGCAAGAAACCACATCATGGCAGCACGCGCAGAGCAGCCAGACTCCGGGGGAGGTGGGGAGGGGCTGGGAGTGCAGGGGGTGCAGGGGGAAACTCGGGGGGACTGGGGGTGCAGGGGGAGACTCAGGGGGGACTGGGGTGCAGGGGGTGCAGGGGGAAACTCGGGGGGACTGGGGGTACAGGGGGTGCAGGGGGAGATTCAGGGAGTGCACGTCCGGGAGGGAAGAGGTCAGAGCAGCCCAAGTGGGTGCCAGGCTTCTGCCCACAGTCACTCCCCAAAGTGAGAAAAAGGTCCCCGTTTTCAGTACACGAAGGAGACAACTTAGGACATTACTCTGTGTTTTTGTAAACACTAAGTCTCTGAGACACAGCCATAGTAACATGATCCACTCGTTCTTCATTGCCGTGTGACTAAAGCTGTGTAGTCATTCTTTTGTTGCTGAGCATGAGTGTTGTTAGCGGTAGTTGGCTACAAAATGATGACATGGACATCAGCACACACGTCTCCTCATTTCATATGTGACTTTCTCTGAGACACATGCCTAGGGGAGCACTTGCCAGGCTACAGACGTGTGCGCAGCTCGGCATCTGAGAGCAGTTTTCCGAGCGCGTTCTAACTCGGTCCTTCCGGGAGCGACCACGTGGAGCGGCTGCTTCTGCCCAGCCGCGCCAGCCCTGCGTGCTGCAGCCTTCCTGTCTCCCCAGACGGTGGTGCCGTGACTGGCTGCACCTCTGGTGACTCAGTTTCACTTATTTTTAATGTAACATGGCCCTGGGCGTGTTTCCCAGAGTGCTGGCAGCGGAGCCTGCCTCGGCCTCTGCCAGCTCCTCCTCGCAGCGCCTCCTCTGTAAGGGCCATCTCTGGGTCAGTGTGTTCCCGTCAGCCTGCGGGTCATCACGGGTCCCAGGTGGTGACCCTCGGCCACCGGCGGTGTTACAGTCTCTTCACCTCATTACTGGGGGCACCCTGCCATGAGCAAAAGGGCCTGGATTTTAAACAAACACCCTTACACTTTACTTCGAAAAGAACCAAGTTTTACAAGCTTTTGCTTTCATGACATCATGAAGAAATTCTGCCACGCATTCTGAAATATTTCAGTTCATTCTTTTTACAATTAACTTCTGATCCCAGTTTGTTTCTGAGTGACATGAAGTAAGCAGCAGTTTTAAATGTTCTGTTCACGTCACAGCCGATGGCCTTGGCCTGTGAGTGCACCACCCACCCCCTCCCATGTGCTTCCCAGGCTGCCTCCCCCAAGGCTCGCGTCTGCTGCCGCTAGTTCACGGTGAGCCTCTCCGGCTGCAACAACTCCAAAATGAAGTCTTGCTATCCGGCAGCACCAGCACCTCTTCCCAAGTGTTTTTCAGGAGCACTGGCTCTATTCTTTGTCTTTTGGTCCAATTAATAGAATCGCCTTGTCAAGTTCCACAAGGAAACTGGATGTTTTCATTGCAATCGCCTGAGACCACACATTATGCAGGGAGACGAGTCCTCTCAGAGTGCTGGCTGCTCCTGTCCATAAACATGGTGCAACTGTATGTGAGCCTTTCCTAAGATGCTATGCAAAACGTATTGTAACATGTTTATTACTTTTAAGTAATTGATACTTTGTGTAGCTATCTAAATAGTATCCCTTTATTAGGGATATTTCTGATTGTGACCTATTCTTCTGTGAATTCTTTATATATATATAATTGATTTTTTTACAGAGAAGAAGGGAGAGAGATAGCTAGAAACGTCGATGAGAGAGAAACATAGACCAGCTGCCTCTTGCACACCCCCTACTGGGGATGTGCCCCAACCAATGTACATGCCCTTCACCGGAATCGAACCCAGGACCTTTCAGTCCACAGACTGATGCTCTACCACTGAGCCAAACCAGTTTCGGCTCTTCTGTGAATTCTTGATCACCAAATTAGCAATGTAATTCTGAAAGTGTCTTATTATTTTAATAATTTCCTTAGTGGTTTCCGTTTAGAGAAGAGCTGGCAAACACTTTTTATAACAGACTAGAAAGCCAATATTCACACTTCTCAAGCCATATGGTCTCTGTCACAACCACACAACTCTGCTATTTAGAGTAAAAGCAGTTAAACCGTATATAACCAGTGGGAGTGGTTGTGTCCTAATAAAACTTTATTCACAACAACAGGCTGCTGTCCATGTTTGCCAACTTCGGATCTAGAACTTTATTCGTTTTATCAAGTTCCCATATTCTCTATTATTTATGTATTAATTTAAAAACATATATAATCAACCAGAATATGTATGAAAATGATCTCTAATATTTAATATACAATAGTCATATTTTATATAGTATTGTATCATTAAAGAATATTACTAAAATATGTTTTTGTGTAATTTGAATTTTAAAAATTAGAGTATTCATTTTTTTAATTGATACATTCACCCCTACAATAGCCTGCTGTTCTCTGTAAATGTTTTACCTCTAATTTTCTTTAGCCTTGGAAATTGGTTTGGGGGCTTGTATATTTATATGTCAAATATAAATTAACTGCATTATGTAAGATCTATCAAGCACTTTGAGGAGGAGAGAATACAGCTTGGGAACGTTGCTGTCTTGGTCAATGTACTGAGCCTCCTGGGAAAGCCTTTGGTTAGTCACTGCTAATGACAGAAGGAAGGACTCCATTGCAACTCTCTCTGTCAGGTGAGAGATTCCTGCACATGAGTACAAAGCAAATCCTCTGGGAAAACCGCACACCCTGAGCTTACCTGGGAACATGTGTGTGTGTGTGTGTGTGTGTGTGTGTGTGTGTGTGTGTGAGAGAGAGAGAGAGAGAGAGAGAGTGAGAGTGTGTGTGTGTGTATTTGTATGTGTGTGTGAGAGTGTGTGTGTGAGTGTGAGTGTGTGTGTGAGAGAGAGTGTGTGTGAGTGTGTGTGTATGTGTGTGTGTGAGAGTGTGTGTGTGTGAGTGTGAGTGTGTGTGTGTGTGAGAGTGTGTGTGTGAGAGAGAGAGAGAGTGTGTGTGTGTGAGTGTGAGTGTGAGAGTGTGTGTGTGAGAGAGAGAGAGTGAGTGTGTGAGTGTGTGTGTGTGTGTGAGTGTGAGAGTGTGTGTGTGTGTGTGTGTGTGGTTACATGTTGGTTGTGGAAAGTCTTAGTCACCTTTTTAAGGAATTGTCACCAGCTAGAACCCATTCAGTGAAGGCTTACTAAAACCTTCAATAAACGTGTTCTTACTGCTTTTGAATAATAGTCAGTGCTATGTTTTTTCAGTTTGATTTATGCAGATAGATTTGTGAAGATGGATAAAAGTCATTTATTTAAAAATTCTTTGAACAAAATAGCCACAAAAGCTGATTTCCAATATTATCTCACACACACACAAACACTCTCTCTCTCTCTCTCACACACACACACTCACACACACACATGCACTCACATGTGGCTTTCACACAGCCAGCTCAGAGAGGAGGACTGTGGTCACCACAGCTGACAAGGACACTGTGTGCATGTGGAAGGCCCCGACTTGCAGCGGTTAGACCTATGGTGTTCAGCGTCACAGAGATGCAGTCGCAGTTACACATCCGGTGGGAGCTGCGCTTTGAATCCTGACCTTCCCAGAACAGCGCCACATGGTTAATCCATGTCCTGCGGCCAGCAGCACCAACAAGATGACTTTGTCCAAATGGGGGCGAATGCAGTGCCCTGAGCACATTTAAGTGGGTGAGGCTTCGCAGTGATGATCGGCAGGCTGGGGGCATTGAACCCACTTTCAACTCGTGGTGGCTTTACAGGGACATAACCCCATCGTAACTCAAGAAGCATCCGTGTGTACATTGTGTGTCATTGAAGGAAGACATCTGGGTTGAGCTCATTAACACCATCATGATTCCAATCATGTGTTTCAGGTGATAGTATACAATGAACACATGCAAAAGGGGCCCACTTACACCAAGGAATTTTATTCCTTCATACAGTCTCAACCAGGGGCCTGGGTCGCGACTTCTTGTTCCCACAATAGCTGTTGTCTCCCTCATCGGAGCGTTAGAGCGAAGCTGGCAGCTGCAATTCCAGCCATGCCCACCACATCATCATCTCTCCAAAGCCAAGACAAGTTTTTATTTCAATAACAAACACATAGGTAAGTGTTCAAAATGTCAGTGGAACAGAAGTGACCTTAAGGAAAGTGCCAAAATATAGGCATTTATCTTAAAGTATTGTAAAGTTGTAGATGCTGAAAGGGTATGCTTTATGATGACCTATCTCAACTGGGAGACCTATCTCAACTGTGACTTATCTCAACTGGAAGCACGCTGAAACTTATTGTCCTGCCTTTGACCAGGGTATATGTTAAGGGGATTCTTAAAAGCAAGGGGAGAAAATAAAAGAACAAAATCTGCAACTGTAAGTAATGCTGTCAAAGATAGAGTCTAAGGATTAGTCGGAATGTCCAGGCATTCTGCTCTAGGGTCTTTTTATTGTTAATCTATCTATATATAAAAGCCTAAGCAGCCACTGCAACTGAAACAAATACCATCGCAACAGAACAGACGACCGAACAGGCTGTGTGGGCAACCAGGTCAGCAGGGGGTTAGTGAGGGACGACCAAATGACCGAACAGCAGGCTGCATGGGTGACCAGGTCAGCAGGGGGGGACAGCTAGGGGTGAACAGACTGGCGGGGGGGTGGTAGTGAAGGGCAACCCAGCTGGCAGAGGGGGGCAGTGAGGGGCAACCAAGCTGGCAGGGGGGGGTCAGTTGGGGGTGATCAGGCAGGCAGGCAGGTGAGCAGTTAGGAGCCAGTGGTCCCGGATTGTGAGTCAGACATACTCCAACGGGTCTCAGATTAGAGAGGGTGCAGGCTGGGCTGAGGGGGATCCCCACCCACCCATGTACAAATTTTGTGCACCAGGCCTCTAGTAATCTAATAAAAACACAATGTTTAGCCATCCTGGACACTGCTTAATGAAGAATTTATTAGGAACAAAGCATAATTCTTGAACTATGCCTAAGTGATATTTTGCCATCAAGATAG